ACATAGTTTTAATTAAATAATATAACTTAAAGTCAGTATGCTTAGATGAGTACTCTAAAGCACTATACTTGAATACTTTACAATGAGACTTGAGCTAAGTCTCAGCTTTATCACTGATTAGCTGTGTTATCTTAGACACATTATTTAACACAGCTTCAAAAAATACATGAAGCAAAAGCTGACAGAAAAATTATAAAGAGATACAGATAAATCTATTAAGGTAGTTGAAAATTTCAACCCACATCCCACAGTAACAAATAAAATAAGAGGACAAAAAAATGGCTGTCTAGATCTAGAAGATTTGTACAACATCATTGATCAACTTGACCTATTCATCATATATAGAGCCCCATCCCCAAACTACTGCAGAATACAGATTCTCTCAAGTACATAGAACATTTACAAAAAAAGACTAGATGCAGGGCCATAAAGCAAGTATTCACAAATCGTAAAGTATTGACTTTGTAATCCAAAATATTTTTCTGACTACAATGAAATTAAACCAACAATAACAGAAAGATGATTTTAAAATTCCTAAGTTTTTGGAAATTGAGCAAAGTACTTAAAAAATCACAGATGAAAGAATAAAACATAGTGGAAATCTTAACATATTTTGAATTGAATATAACAAAAATATAACAAAATTTGTGGGTTACAGCTAAAATAGTGCTTAAAGAGAAAATAGCTTCACGTGGAATGTTAAAATAAAAAAAGGTTGGAAGTCAATTATTCAAGTCTCCATATCACCATCCTATTCAGAAAACAGCAAATTGAACCCAAAAATGTAAAAGAAAAAGAAAAAAGTTAAGAGCAGAAGTCAATGAATTGGAAAATGGACACAAAATTGAAACAATTAACAAAACCAAATGTTGATTCTTTGTAAAGATAAATAAAATTGATAAATTCCTAGCAAGTCCAATAACTAAAATGAGAAAAGCAAAAATTATCAATAGCAAAAAGTGGGTATTGCTATAAATCACATTGTCAAATGTTATAGACATGAAAAAGAAATAAAACATTAGGAATAATTGCATGTCAATAAAATGTGACGTTAGATCAAAATAACAAATTAAAAACTAAAACTGACACAAGAAGAATTCAAAATATGAACAGGCTTAAATATGTAAGAAAAACCAAAACTCAAATTTTAACACTCTTCCCACCCTGCACAGAGATAAGAATACAAGTGAAGGCACTGTTGAGACAGCTGTTTAGACAGGCAGGCAGGCAAAGTCAGACAGGTCTGATAACAGGGCATGAGATTTCAGTCTTTTGAACTTTGGGGTTATCTTTCATAGTAAGAATGCAGCAGAATAACCCAAATCCTGGGAGAACAGAGCAAAGACAGGCTAGCAGCTAAGCTAACACTTGAGCTACTGAATTAGAGTTCCTTCAATTCCTCGTAACAAAGGATGAGATTGGGCCCTGGTCCTGGTGTGGGACTGGGTTTTCTATTGGGAGTAAATTAGCTCTACCCATATGATGAAGTTAAAATCAAATGGGAAGAATCCACACTTTATGGTACGTTTAGGGAGTCTCCAGCTCTACAAACAACCTTTTATGTTTCCTTTTTGACAATTTCAGCAGACATGCAATGAGGTCTAGGAGCTTCACGCATCTCGGTGAACGTAATGAATGTCCCCCTCATGGAAGCAGGATCCTTGTGAAAGGCTTTTACCCTTTGTGTACTTTTCAGTCTGTATCCAGATCATAAACTATTTGCTTAAGAAGTCGCACTACTTTTGATGATCATTCATTTCAGACCCGTTCTTTCTTTCTGCCCTTGGATTTGACAGTTCCAGACGACTTTTGTTTCCTAGGCCTTGGTTCCTGATTATTTCCACACCCATAAAATACAGGTCATCACCCCTAACCCTACTTCTCTTCTAGCCGCATCTCACAAAATCCTAACCCAGCCCAAAGCTTCAAACCCAGTTTTTTGTCTAAGAAGGGATTTGGGGAATTTCAATTCTGCTTAACTTTGCCTTTTTAAAAGAGTTTCTGCATCTTGCTAGGTCATTTACTCTCTTCCCAGGTCTGGGTCTATAGTAAGTTATTTTTTGTTTTCCTCCTAAAACTATTGAATAGCAGATTATGTAATGAAAAGAACACTGTACTCTGGGTTGTCTTTCTCTTATCCTTCACAGGTATGTGTATGACACGAAACTTTTTGGATCTCAGTTTTATAATCAGTCACTTAGAAAAAAATAATATCTAATTCACACAGATGTTAACTTTTAATTGTGTGTTTCCTATTCTCTGAGTGGAGGGAATCTGGCTAAGGTGCTTTCTGGGTGATTGTTGTAGAACAAGCATGTCAAACTCGCGGCCCACAACAAATATTTTTACAGCCCAGCCAATGTAACGGTATGTAAGAGACGTTTTAATAAAAATTTCATAACTTAATTTTTACAATATCCTGTTATACATCATTATTAATAATGAACTACAACAAAAACGTTCACTAATGACTGATTACTATAATCATGTTGCATTCATTTCCATTACGTGCCTTACACGCAGGCGCACCATTTCTCTCCACTAATACTAGAAGCGAATATTTTAGCAGGCAATTGCCATGTCATTAGTCTTGGACAGACGTGTTTGGTGTGCACAACAGGAAATATTTCGCTTTTGGAGAACTAGAAAAATAGGTTTATTTGTGTTACACTTATAATTTGTGCAGTTATTCAGTGTCTGGTAAGTTAATGTTCAAGAAAAATATTAATTTTTATTAAAATGTTTTATTATTTTATGTTAACGATTACTTTTATTTCAGCCCTTTGTATTCAGCATGTCTCTATCAAAATAAACCTACCTTTCTATGAAAATTGAAGCTTTTGATTTTTTTGCGGCCCACATAAACTTAAACCTTGTTTATTTGGCCCGTGTTAGCCTTTGAGTTTGACATGCTTGTTGTAGAAAGTAGTATAGCAGAGTAGCTAAGAACAAAGAGAGCTGCAGTGCCCAATACAGTGGCCACAATCCACATGGGGATGTTGAGCACTTGGAATGAAGCTACAGTTGAATACAACTGAAGTACAATTGGGATATCATTTAAATTGGAATCAATGTAATAAGCCAGTGCAATTTATCATGTTAACAATTGTATGATAATCCCTCAATATCTACACGAATAAAAGAGAAACATGCAAATTGGTGTCACTCCGCTATGCCCACCAGCCAATCCCACCAGCCAATCAGAGCAACTATGCAAATTAACCCAACAAAGATGGAGGTTAATTTGCATACGCAGGCATGGAGCAGAGTGAAGACTGATGACTGAAGACTGAAGACTGAAGAGGCGGAGAAGCCAAGCCTCGCTGTGGCTGGACCAAAGGCCTGGGTCCCAGGTGCCAGAGGAAAACTGGTGCCAGTAGCCAGGGGAAGGAAGGCCTATTGCGCAAATCTTTGTGCAACGGGCTTCTAGTGTAAAAAATAATAAAATAAAAATCCAGCCATAACCGGTTTGGCTCAGTGGATAGAGCGTCGGCTTGCGGACTGAAAGGTCCCAGGTTCGATTCCGATCAAGGGCATGTACGTTGGTTGCGGGCACATCCCCAGTAGGGGGTGTGCAGGAGGCAGCTGATCGATGTTTCTCTCTCATTGATGTTTCTAACTCTCTATGCCTCTCCTTTCCTCTCTGTAAAAAATCAATAAAAAATATATTTTTTTAAAAATCCAGCATCCATTTCAGATTAAAATGGAACTCTCAGAAATTAGGAATAAAATAAAAATTTCTTAACCAGATAAAGAGCACCTACATAAAATATACAGCTAATATACTTACTGGTGAATGGTTGAATGATTTTTCCCAAGTACAGGAACAAGGCAAGGGTATCTGCTATCACCAATTTTTTCAACATTGGGTTCTAGGCAGTGCAATAAAGCAAGCAAAAAAAAAAAAAAATCCAAAAAATTACAATCAATATTCTTTTAAAAAATATTTATTTCTTTATTGATTTCAGAGAAGAAGGAAGAGGGAGAGAGAGATAGAAACATCAATGATGAGAGAGAATCATTGATCAGCTGCCTCCTGCACGCCCCTTACTGGGGATCGAGCCCGCAACCCAGGTATGTGCCCTTGGACGGAATCGAACCTGGGACCCTTAAGTCCGCAGGCCGACACTCTATCCACTGAGCCAAACTGGCTAGGGCTCAAATCAATATTCTTTATGATTTTCTCCAGCATATCTTGAAGTATTTGTCTATTTTCATTAACTTTTTCTTAAAACACATACTTCCCATTGACTTCTGGAAGTAGAGAATGTTAGAATATAATACTCATTTTTAAAAAGAATCTTAATGATGAAGTCATTTAAATACATTATTTTAAAATTAACTAGAAAATAGATTTTTTGAGAAAATTTCAATATTTAAGAAACCAAATTTTCATGGCAACCATGTTCATATTTTTTATTAGTTTATTCTTGTACCTCACAATGAATATCATTATTTTGATTTGTAATAGCATATCAACAGCAAAAAGATTTATGGATAAATGTTCCAAATAAGCAAAATGGGTTAAAAAAAATAAAGCTACCATTATGATTTTCAAATTAATCAGGTATCCAGAACATAAGTATCACAGAAAGAGGGTTAAATGCAATAAATTCACCAAGTTTATTTTACAGTGTTTAACTATAGTCATAGAGAGAAATGGCCAGAAAAAAAAGTCATAATAAGTTAGAGCTTAGCAACTTACTTAAAATATACCAAAAATACTATTGGTTAGTAATAATGCATACGTAGACTTCTAATTGAACAAAAGGAAAGGGGCTGCCCAGAAAAAATACAGGGAATAAAACCCATTGCTGTTGGAATTCAAAGTGTTTAAAACAAGTAGAATTCTAAATAGCACTCCAGAGATAATACTTTAATGCTAATTCCCACCCCACCCCCACAATCAGGGAGAAGAAAAAATAATACAAGAAGCTCAGGTATTTCACATGTAGATTTAAAAAATTAAAAACCCACGTTAAATTCTTTTTCTTTTTTTCCCTAGCTCAAATGCAGTTCCCACCACCACAAATCATGCAGTTGAGTTTCCCACATTTGGGGAAACCACAGGGGTGAGCACATCCGGAATGCAATGGATACGCCTCGTCCTGGGAAAACCACCTTCGTGACCATGGCGACTCCCCTGCCAGGTAAGTATGATGAAGTTCGAAGACATGACATGGCATGAAATAGCGATGAGTCGTCAAGTGTACTGTTTCATTCAGGTAAAAGTGAACAAGTAAGTTTAGGCCATGCAGATAGTGTGAAAACAAAAGGTAAATGATGTTTTATGGTTTTGTTCCATTTGTGAAAATTCATTGAACTGTGTAGTTATGACATGACCTATATTTTTTCTGTGTCTATATTCTTCTTCAAGAAAAATTGTTTCTGAATTAATCGTGTATACTATCTGTTCTTTCATTAATATTAGAATGTTTATTAAATATCCACCTGTATGCTCTGCCAAATACTAAAGGGGGTAGGAGACACGTAGTCCCGGTCTTCCTGTACTTTCCTTTCTCAAATGGATAACGTATGTGAAGACAGACACGTAACAGACTAAGACACTCCATGAGCTGACCACTGATGGACACAAGTGCTCCCTGTCTTTGCGTATTATAAAACCACAGCTCGGTTCTAGCACCTTTTTCTTATATCATCTGCTTATCCTTTGTCCTTGAACCATTGTCCATGTATCATTTAGAAGTAGTATCTGTCTGGATTCGTAATTACCTTTCCAAATCCATCAAACGAACACTAGCTTATAAATCTTATACACTGCACTTTGTACCCTTTCTTATTTCTTTAAGCCAATGTTTCTAAAACTTCAGTCTTTCACTTACTGTCTTCACAACTTTTGCCATATCATCATCATACCAACTGTTTTAAAAATAAATTTAGGTTGACCCATATTCTTTTTTATTGTAATACCTACTTAACTTAGTCCTAAGCATTAATATCCATGGAATTGTAGATTTGTTGTTTTTTTTTTTTTTGAAAAGGTGTGTCTGCGTGTTCTCAACTGAAGTAATCATGTGAACCCTGGTGGTATGCTGACTGCACTTGAATATCCACTGTGTTAATCGAGTTAGCTTTCCTATCACCTAGTAAGAATGATAAACGTACCAACATAGAATCCTGCCCTGCAGAACATAAGCTGCTTTATCTTCTGTCTCAAAGGTATCCTTATTTTTTGTAATCCCTTATAAGTGGACACATTCCAAGATACTTATAACAAAGAGTATTTAAGGAAGTCTTCTGAATTTCTTAATTTAACCTGCTCATGTTTCAGATTAAAATACCTCTTTTAGCAAATTTATCCCTGGGTTTTTCTTTGTTTAAAGATTTTCAGATTGGTTTAGTAATTGAAATTAACTTTGATAATAGTGATGCAAGTACATTACAGTCTCTTCATTTTTATCATGCGGAAAATTGTGTCAAACATAGCATTTGTGAAGTTTAAATAATAAGTAAAGGAAAGAATTGGACCTGGAGAATAAATAAAGTTTACTTAACAATTGTCTACTGGGTATTTTAGTAGTAGTCTGCCTTTTTTCTGGGTGCTGAACATGCATCAATAAAAAAAAAAAAATAGCCCTAGCTGGTTTGGCTCAGTGGATAGAGCATCAGCCTGTGGACTCAAGGGTCCCCCCGGGTTTGATTCCGGTCAAGGGCACATGCCATGGTCTCTGAAACCTACATGTATATCTTCATGTCTTCAGGTTAGGCATTGGTTTCTTGATATGACCCCAGAACACAGCAACAAAAAGAAAATATCTAAATTGGACTTTATAAAAATGAAGAACTTTTGTGCTTTAAAGAAAATTATCCAGAAAATGAAAAGATAATATATAGAATTAGAGAGAAAATATTTGCAAATACCTATTAAATAAGGGACTTGTATTCAGAATGATTAAAGAACTCTTACAATTCAACAATAAAAACACAAGCAACTCATTTTTAAAATGAGTACAGTATCTGAATAGAAATTCTCCAAAGATATGCAAATGCCAATAAACATTTAAAAGATGTTCAATATGCAAATCGAAACCACAATGAGATACCACTTCATACACTCGAATAACCTAAGTGAAAAAGACAGACAACTACAAGTGTTGATGAAAATACAGAGAAATTGGAGCCCTCATACATTGCTGGTGGGATGGTAAAATGGTGCTGTCTCTTTGGGAAACAATTTGGCAGTTCCTCAAAATGATTTAAACATAGAGTTACCATATAACCTACATTTCAAGACTTATACTAGTGCCTGGCTGGTGTGGCTCAGTGGTTGAGCATCAACCCATGAACCAGGAGGTCACTGTTCAATTCCTGGTCAGAGCCTATGCCTGAGTCATGGGCTCGATCCCCAGTGAGGGGCATGCAGGAGGTAGCTGATCAATGATTCTCTCTCATTACTGATGTTTCTATCTCTCTCTCCCTCTCCTTTCCTCTCTGAAATCAATAAAAATATATCTTTTAAAAAAAGACTAGGCTAATGAAAGATCTTGTACAATGACCTATCATGAACATTATTTTCCTCGTTTATAAAGTAAAAATGGCAACTTTTTGTTGATAATTTATCTCTTCAAATTCAAACAATAACAGCAAAACCCAATTATTTGGCTTTCCAAAGATATCTATAAGAAAATGAAAAGTCAAATCACAGACTGAGAGAAAATATTTGTAAGATAGTACATAAATCTGATAATGGATTGTATAAAGAACTCTGACCACAGTATAAACAATCCAATTTAAAATGGACAAAATATTTGAACAGACACTTCACAAAAGTAGATAACACACATATGTGTGTGGATATACATACGTACATATATTAAAAAGTCTAATCAGCAAGTGAAAAATGCTCAACATCACTAATCATCAAGGAAATGTATATATATATATTTGTTGTTGTTGTTGCTGTTGTTAATCCTCACCCTGTGGATATTTTTTTCCCATTGATATCTTTAGAGAGAGTGGAAGGGAGGGGAAGAGACAGAGAGAAACATCAGGCTTGATCCCCAGGAGACGAGTGCAGGAGGCAGCCGAGTGATGTTGGCATTTCTCTCTCACCGATGTTTCCTATCTCTCTCTCCCTCTCCCTTCCTCTCTCTATAAAAAAATCAGTAAAGTCCAGCTGACTTGGCTCAGTGGTTGAGCGTAGATCTATGAACCAGAAGGTTCGGTTCAATTCCCGGTCAGGGCATATGCCCAGGTTGCAGGCTTGATCCTGGTGTGGGGTGGGCAGGAGGCAGGGTTCATTGATGTTTCTCTCTCTCTCTTTCTCCCTTCCTCTCTGAAATCAATAAAGGGATCAATATATTTTTAAAAAATCAGTAAAAACACTTACAAAAAACAACAGAGATTGATGAGGGCTGGGTGAGAAAGGTAAAGGGATTAAGTACAAATTGATAGTTACAAAATAGTCAAGGGAATGTAAAAGTATAGCTTAAGGAATTTAATCAGTAATCTGTCTATATATATAAAAGCCTATGCGACCAAATGACCGAATGACCAAACGACTGGTCGCTATGACGAGCACTGACCACCAGGGGGAAGATGCTCAATGCAGGAGCTGCCCCCTGGTGGTCAGTGTGCTCCCACAGTGGGAGTGCCACTCAACTGACTGAGGGGCACCAGATGCAGGGCTCATAGCTGGCAAGTGCCGGTGGGGCAGCGAGAGCCTCTCCTGATCGGGACTGACTGGGTGCGAGCCCACTGCAGGCGCATTGGGGCCGGATGAGCAGGAGGGCAGGCAGGAGCAGCAGGCGGCGTTGGACTGTCAGTTTTGGCCTGATCCCCGCAGGCCACACCGAGGGACCCCACCGGTGCATGAATCCGTGCACTGGGCCTCTAGTATTGTAATAACTATGTATGATGTCAGGTGAGTACTAGACTTAACTCATTTCGAAGTTATATAAATGTCTAACCACTATGCTGTACACCTGAATCTAATATAATATTTAATGTCAACTGTAATTGAAAAAATGTTTCTAAAAGGATTGATGATACCAAGTATAGTAATTGGAAATCTTGTACATTGCTTGTGAAGTGTAAAATGGTGCAGTCACTTGAGAAACAATATAAGAACTTTAAAAAAACTTAAGCATATATCTACTCAATGTCCCAACAATTGTATTTCTAGGTATTTACCCAAGAAGAATGAAAACATAAGTCCACTGAAGGACTTGTACAGAATACAGGATGGTGTAAAAGTAGGTTTACAGTTGTTTGTATGGAAAATAATAAATAAATAAATATAATAATAAATAATAAATACAATAATTAATAAATAATAATACAAGAATAAACTGTGTTTTCCGTACTCACAACTGCAAACCTACTTTTGCCTACCCCTGTATTTATAGCAGATGTATATATAAGAACCCCAAATGGAAACAACCCAATTGAAAATCATCAAATGTGATATTTTCATACAATGAAAAATTAATTTGCAATAAAAATAAGTAAACTGATCCATTTAAAACCAAATAAATCTCAAAAACATTATATTGAGGGAAAGAGCCAACACAAAAGAATACACTCTGTACGATTTTATTTTTATGAATTCTTGAACAGATAAAACTCATCTGTGCTGATAGAAAACAAAGGGTACAGGAAAATTTTCTGGGATTATGTAAATATTATATATATATATATATATATATATATATATATATGTATAGATATACATATACATATCTATCTATCTATCATCTATCATCTATCTATTTTTTTAAATCCTCACCTGAGGATATTTTTCCATTGGTTTTTAGAGAGAGTGGAAGAGAGAGGGAAAGAAACACATTGATTGGTTTGCCTCCTGCATGAGCCCTGACCAGGGCCAGGGCCAGGGAGGAGCCTGCAACCAAGGTACACGCCCTTGACTAGAATCAAACCCAGGACCCTTCGGTCCACAGACCCATGCTCTATCTACTGAGCCACACTGGCTAGGGCTAAATGTTTTGTATTTTGAATGTGGACGTGGTAGCTCAGTTATATATGTTCATTAAAATTCCTTGAACTGTATACTTAAAGTCTGTGCATTTTTTTCTAAGTGAAGTATTCCTCAATAAAGTTTATTTTTTAAAAATGATACTAGAAATGTACATGTGAGTTATTTTTCTACATATACATTTTTTAACTTGTCATATACAT